CAGGAAAGAAAGAAAAATTGAAATAGAAAACGTATGCTAATTGCTGCATTCTCTTATCATACAAAAATGAACTTTTGACACAGAAGTGACTGTGGTCTTCCGTGCTAATAATGACAATGAATCGTAATTGGATATTTATATGAAACCCTATTTTTGATACTAGTGTAGATCTGAGGAAGAGGGATGTCTGTGTCCTAATAAAATAGGCTCCTTGAAAAATTCCTTTCAAAGTTTCCTTGAAACATTAAGAGGAAAACTGGGGGGAAATAGGGGTGTGATTTTTTTTTTTTGGGGGGGTGGTGGTGGTGTGATTTTTATATTTTTTTCCTTGCTTTGGAATTGCTAGGCTCAGGCATAGGCTTAACTTTGGAACAAATAACTATTTAAGACCGCTAATGGAGGTACTATTTTCAAAATTTCATGTAAATTAAGTCTTGAAAATGTAAAATTCAATGAAACTATTTTTAATGTAGTAATTTGTAACTCAGCTGTTGGCATGTGTTTATTTACATTAACTTATTAGAAAAGTTGAATATAGAAAACATTCTGGATCTTGGTAACTCCATAACTGGAAGTTTATCTAGTAGCTGTAATAATTCTGATATCAACAACCTTTTCTGGTTTTAATACAGATGCTCTGTCTGTCCCACGGCACATCTTCTCTATCAGGTCAAACTTGCCCACAGGCATGGTTTTTAATGGTATTTGAGTTCATGAAGCTATGAAATCATGGATGGATTTAAAGTTACCCTTTTTTTTTTTGGCATTTATTATTGTAAGATGGTTGCCACTAAATTGGTGTGTAATCATGGATGTAACACTTCTCAGAGGTGATCTTCCTCTTTCAAAAACATTATTCATGCTGCATGATAGTCAAAAGCATTCAGCAGGGAATTGCATAATTTTTGGTGTTTACATGTTACTAGTCTTATTGTAATTAGTTTCTGTGTGGGAAATCTAGTATGTCTAAACCCCATTAAGTGTCTCTCTAGTGAGTTTTCATCTTTGTAATTTCTGGGGTTTGAATCCTATTGATTTTGGTAGACTGGAAAAGTTGGCCATGTGACCAATGAGAGAAAATAATAAAAATTAATGTTTACGCATGCGAGAATTTTCTATGTTACGAGGCATAGAGTTGGGATGATAGTGTAGAAGAGAGCTTGCTCAAAATTTTGATCTAAATTTTCAAGGCTCTTTGTGGGAATGTGAGGTAGAGAGGGAGGTAGCACCACTGTTGAAGCCTGGAGAACTACCAGAAAAAAGATATTACTTATATTGAGGAACATCATGCATTAGATTTTTAGAGAAGAGGGAAAAACTGTATTAAATTGCGATGAGCCTGAATCTCAGGAAGGCTTATAATGGTGCTGATTTCTCCGGTCTTGTGTTCCTTTACTCTCTCTCTGATGACTGAGGGGTACTTGCTGTCCAGTTCTTCCAGCAGACTAATACAGACCTGTAGATTGCCGCAGAGAGCTGGTTAAGTCAGCATACACTGCACACTCCAGACTGCTGAAGCACTAGAGAATACCATGATGATAATTCCCATTATATGTTATTTTAAGACATTAGCAATTTCTTTTAGTTGATTGATTTATTTTTTTTTATTTTTTTTTTTCCTCAGGGGGGTAGTAATAATATGGCTGATTATGTAGGCTTCCTTTTCCTTTGCTAACTTGAGCAAAACTGATCTGGGTTATCCCTTTACAATTATTGTTCTGAGCTAAAAAACAAACTCTACTCAATTTTTCCATTTTCTGATTTTGTCATCTTGGAGGATTTGTGTATGTCAAGAGTTACCAGAGTTCAAAAGTCTGGTTGATTAGCACCCTGAAACTTACGAGGTAAAAGAAAGCCAATTAGAAGGTTGGAATAGGTTGATAAACTGCATGTTGGACCTTTGATGTTTGAGGAGCTCAGTTTTGGATCCCGTAGGGGTTAAAATGGTCTTTCATCCAGCTAGTGGGAGTTTTGGGAACCTGTAGGAACAGTGTGCTTTCTGTGTAGCACTTCTAGCTTCTGCTGTACGTATAATTACTTGGGCTGCTGCCCTTTAGTTTTGAGTGACTTTGCTGGTGTTTCTGGTGATTTTTCATTTGGTGCTGTGAAGAAGTTTGTCTGAAATCCAATTTGTTTGCTTGTTTTGAGTAGTGGTTGAAGGGTTTTTCTTCTTTATTTTTTTGTTTCTTTTTAAATGTGTCTCTTAGGTAAACTGGTTCCTCTGTTCTTTTCTTTACTAAATGTTTAGGCATCAATAATAAAATGAATTATGGCAGTGAAGGTACTATACACTTACCTGTATTTGAAATAAGTAATTTTTGTCATTTAATGAATAGTCAATGAGTAGTTCTGTCAAAGTCAGTAGACTTAAGCATTTGGGGTTGGGTATAGAAGGAGAAATTGAATTGTGCAGCTGTCTTGTGGCCTTAATGTGAGATGTTGCCTTTGAGGAGGGGTGCTTTAGATTTCCAACAGCTTTGGATCCTTGAGATCAGACGAAACAAGTTAGCTGTTCTGTTGATTGCACAGCACATTAATTTGCGCTTTCCGTGTCTGGTAACTGGAAGGGTACAACTGCAGCTTGGCAGTTGCAGACAGTTTCATGGAAGAGAACATCTAACCCAAAGAATTTAGCAAAGTTATTTCTCATTTCCAGAGGTTTCAGTGACATGAGGAATGAGGAGCATATATGAAGGGTCACAACACCTCCTTGTAATTTTTGCCTCTGTTGTACACCCTTGTAGATGAGACTGCCCTGGGTGAGGCTTGCCAGACAAGTCCATCAAGGAAGGGAGGCCAGGAAGGAGCAGTTTTCTGTACTGGGTCAGGTGTTGGGGAGCACAGAGGGTATAGTGAAGGGCAAGGTTGGCAGGGTAAGATTGGTTTGACAAAATTGCTCAAGAGTCCTGGGTGCTCATGCCCTTGCCCTCCCAAAAGAAAAACAATGAATCAAGCAAAGCAGGTGGGGAAAAAAGCTGAAAAAAATAACCTAAAAGCCTATGAAATAGGTTTCTTGACATGAGCAATGGCAGCCTAGTTAGTGACTTACTGGATTCTTGGTGGAGCATCTTTCCAAGTTGCCTGTAATTCAAAGTACTCCAGGCTTGATCGTTTTCCTAGTCTTCACTTTTTGGTAGCAACCCCACCTCCCTGAGACCTCTTCTTCCATAGTACTCTGGTCCTCATTTTCATTTTTCTTCTCCCTTCCTGGACTAAGCAGATGAACCTCAAACTACAGAGGTTCCAAGTGCTCCCACAGAAAACACCTTAAGAGCAGGTACTATGTAATGATATATAAGATTTTGTTGTTGTTGTTTTTCTATGGAATGCAGCAGCATTAAGGGAAGGTTCATGCTTTTCCTGCTTTATCATAATGCTGTTTAAGCAGACCCTTCAAAGAGCAATTTCATTTAAACTTTGATTATTTTTTTCAATTTTTTTAAAATTTTTAACCTATAGAGAAAGGTTGCCATTCTGAAACTGAGTCCTTTATTACCAGGTACATAGTTCCACATTAACCAGTTTTTTCAGGTGCTTAATTTGGGGTTTCTTTCCAATATTCTTCTGGGAGTGATGTTTTTCTGAAAGTATTTTACTGCTTCACTGACCTGTGTTCCACTGCAAATTTTTTGGGAGATGGTATAAAACATGTTCTTTTCATGTTGAAATTAATGAAAAATATTTTTGTTCCTCAAAACAACTGTAGGCAAGAATATAGCAAAGTAGGGAAGAAGCTTTGTTGTTGTCTGGAAAACAGCGGGTTTGTTCTGATGAAGTGGGAAATTCTGCTGGGTCTGTGTGCAAAAGGGTTGGCCCTGAAATCTGTCAGCAGAGTCATGATGCATATAACTGAGAAAGGTGGTGCTGGTTTTTAATTTGCATATATAAGTGGTTCTAGGGTTTGCATGACACAAACTTAGCTGTATTTGAATGTGTTCTAAAACCAGTTTCGCTTCTGTGTTTTCCAATGAGACAGTAACAGAAGAGTTGAGTTTGGAAGGGACCTCTGGAGGTCACTTGGTCCGCCTGCCCTGCTCAAGCAGGGCTGCCTAGAGCTGGTCGTTCAGGAATTGAATCTTGAGTTTCAGAGACAAGAGAGGGACTATGCCACTGTACAAATGGAAAAGATATCTGACTCTTTTTGCTTTCCTCGCTTCCATCAAGTGAGCAGGTTTGGGTGCAGAGGCAAGGTGTTGGCCATGTCCTGATGCCAGTTTGTGGGTGGAGTGCCTAGAAATCAAGAACGGTGCTCTTGTCCAGATTGAAAAGATACATCTAATACTAATTTGAAAAACAAATGAGAAATACAGCAGCTAATTAAAATACAGTCATTCTATTTAAGACCAGGATGAAACTGAGACAGTGCCAGAGTGAAGGAGGGCTCAATTTTGCCTCATTGCACGAAAACCAGATCTTTCTTTGTGCTTTCAAGACCCATAACTGTACATGAGCAAACTTGTGAAAGTGTAAGCAGCCTCTTGTTTGACCTTGCATTTTCTTTTCATGCTTTACTATGCCTAGCTTTAAAATATTTCTGTGAAAATTAAAGGGTGCAGTCATCACTTGGTACTTCACTAATACAGATTTCTGGAGAGTCATTGTGGTGGGTTGACCTTGGTCAGCTGCCCAGCCAACCACTCTCTCACTCCTTGTTCTCAACAGAAAGGAGGGAAAATAAGATGAAAAAACTCGTTGGTTGTGATGAAGACGGGGAGATCACTTACCAATTACTGTTGTAAGACTTGACTTGAGGAAAATTAATTTATTGCCAATTAAGTTAGAGTTGTATGATGAGAAACAAAGGCATAACTTGTAATACCTTCCTTCCCCCCATGTGTTTTTTCTAGGCTGAACTTCTCTCCTTCATTCCCAACTCCTCTATCTCCTCCCTACACTTTAATATATTTTTCTTCTTCTTTCTTTTTAGGAGGGGCAAGAAGCACAGTATAATTCTGAGGACCCAGCTGTCAGTGAGAGTCCATGCCTGCATTGGTAAGTGAAGTTCCATGTTCCTGAAAGAGAACAAATAAACAGAATCCATCTCTGAGAGGGAGATCTAGGGAGTATGAATCAGGCTTGCTGTGTTCCAAGTTAAATCAATTTATTCGCCATTATCCTTCTTTGTTGTTTGTTGCATGCTAAAATTAGGTTATATTAGTTACATTATCCTTGAAGTATGTTAGACAGCTCAGGGAAGTACAGGATTTGACAGCGAAGTGTAATGATTTGGGATGTTTTGGAGAATCTTGGATTATCTGTCTTGCCACAGCCTTTGTGTGTGCCTGAAGAAGACTGTGTTCTGAACTGGGAAGGGGATCTGAAGAATTGTTGGCTGACAGCTAACTACTGCCTTTTAATAGCATGTAATGTTTATTGCTTCACATCTTGCAGATCTTGGCCACGTATTCGTCATTATCACAGTGTCAGTGTCTTAAAAACCCTGGTTAAAACAATGCTGTCACAAGGAGAAGGCTAATGAAAGTCATAATGTGTGTGTCATAAGAGCTTGAAGGTTGCATAAACAGAGGCTGATGTGCTGTAGTAGCGTTAATATGTTCTCCAGCATTCTGCAGAGCAGCGTGTTTCACTGAGTGTTAGTAAAGCTAATGCTTGTGTTCTGGTGATATTATGATAGATGTTATGGGTGATTGGTTTGGGGGGGAAAAAAAAAAGGCAAATTAATCCTATATGTGTGTGCCACAGTTGCCTGTTTTGTTTTCAACTTCTCCATAGTGGATTCAACACCCTAATAAGTTTAGCTTGTAGTTGGTCTTGTTTCAAGAGATCATAGCTGAAGCATTGGAATATAGATACTTTTCTTAAAGGAGGAGGAGAAAGACTAAGTTTTGTATTATTTCCACAGTGCTACTGGTGTTGTAGGATTCAGACTTTAAATACAACTAAACCTTTTTCCCCTGCCCCCAGGACGTGTTATGAAACAGCCTTTCTGGGAATTTGAACTGAGCATAAGCAACCTACAGAATTCCTTGAATACCTCCCATTGAGAGCGATCTCTAGACTGCCTCACACAGGAACAGATTTTCTACTACCGTTGGCTTGAGAAAGTACAGTAAAGCAAGCCTACGTGTTAAGTATTAGAGGAGAAACAGAGATGCTGCAAAGTCTGGGCTGATTTTATAAATGTGAATGAAATTAAGAACAGCTTGGAAAAGCTTGTTCTTGTTAGGTCTGGGAATATCTTTGGCAAAACAGACCAGTGCAGCAAGACAAGATTTCATATGTTTCCTGGATTGAGGTTTTATAAAAACAATTTTCATGTAAAAAATTTTGTCCGGAGTGCAGCCATCGAGGAATTGGAGCGCACCAAATTCTGAGCTTCCATGTGTGGTTGCTTTGTTGTTATCTGTTTGCATTCAAGCTTGCTGTGGGCAATTAGGCATATTACTGCGCACGTATTTTAATTGTTCCTGTATGAAAGTGCGCATGACGGTGCTGTTACTCTCTGGCAGCGGTGATGCATTCAGCAGTGAGTACAGTGGAAGCCAGGTTGCAAAACTTGAGTCCAGATTTCAAACTCCTAGAGCAGAGGTGTGTTTGGATATGGGCTTTTGTTCGTTACAGGCAGAAAAGCCAAACACAAGATCTGGTTCTAATTTCCAAACCCCCTGCTGAAGTTTAGACTTTTTAGGATGAGTTTTTGTTTCAGCCCATGGCTTGATGTAATGTAGTTTCTTTTCTCTTCTTTTGTATTTCTACATGTCAGATGTGTCTTATTTTTTGGTACGACGTGGTTTGAAAGAGTCAGGGACTCTTGCAGTTCTTGGTACTGGGCTCATGTGGTGGCCTGTGCCTGGCAGCTAAACTTGTCACAGAATAGAAGGGTTGCTTCGCTGGCACAGTGGGTATTTTCCTTCATCTTGCATGTACTTTTGCATCAGCTGCCTGTTAATGTCTTTTTTGAAATATAAGCATTAGGTTTTGAGGTTAAAAGATGTGTTACATATTTGGAGCAGAAGCCAGGAGCTAGAGCAATGTGAGATGGTGTTACGTGGAATGAAAACGTCTTGCTTTGGCTATTTTCTTTCAGACTTCACAATATACTTGGAAAGCATTGTGGTTAGCAATGTTACTGACTCTGCAAAGTCCCTCATAGGTACCCAGGACTGCTTTATGAGAAGATGTGGTTTGTTCTGTAGTGCCCTTGCCGCAGAGCCTCCCATCATCCTTGCACTCAAGGTTTTTACTTTGCTCTGAAGAGCTGAGAGGTGTAAAGAAAAAGCTTTCCTGACATAAACTCTCCCATTTGGAAGTTGGACCATTGTTTTTTTGTTTTTTTTTTAACATGTTGTACTTTTAAATTGTGGTTGTGTTCAGATGTCCACATAAAGTTTTCCATCATTAGTGACTTCAAATCTCCAGGGAATTCATTGGGTTTTAGTGTCAGAGGATGTATTGACTACAGGCCAATATTTTATGAGACTTGGGAAGCTTTAGCAAGTCCCATGTCAAGTAAGGTGGGTTTTTTTGGTTTTAAGCAGGGGAGGAAAGGAATAAAGCTTAATAACTTGAGTGCGGAAGTTGTTAGTGAGTGGTATTTTCTGCATACCAGTCACTCTTAAGTATCTCACTCAATTTAATGCATTAATACTTTCTTTTTTTTCCTCTCAATCCGAGTTCCTGTCTTATGTTTACACTAAGGACTTTCAGCACAGAGGAACAAATTTTCTTTTAAATATTCTTGACTACTTTTCACGTTTTTTATTTGATCCTAATTAAATTGTCAGGACTAATTAAAAAGTAATTTCAAAAATAAAATTTAAGTGGTTTTAATACAAACTGGAATATTTACAATGGATATTTTTATATCAAGACTATTGCTGAAGCCAGTTTTGTTCATAGAACATAACTAATTGAAACTTATAGATGTACTTTTGTACTTGTTGATGTTAAAATACCTTAGTGGAGGAAGATCAAGCATTAAATCACATAGTGTCAATTGCTTTTTTCCCCCTACCATCTGACAAATTTGACCTTTTATTCAAATTAGATTTATTGTGAGTTAATACCCTGTGGGAAAAGTCTTTCTGGTATTTTTGGCAGCCGTATGCCTTTCCTTGTTTGTATATAATTGTGTCTTAATGTAATTTTAATTTGTATATATTTAACATTTACAGGGCTCAGCTGAAGCCTTGATAAAGTCCAGTGTAAATGAGGATGTAGCTTTACAGGGTGAACACCAACAGTGCCAAAAACTTTAGCCCCTGAAACTAAATGGAAGGCTTTAGTCAAAGCAACTCTTTGACAGTGAAGCTTTAAAGATCTTTAAAAGCTCCTCTCTTTCCTGGAGAGTGACTTGGTTTATTCATTATGTCTGTGCTTGGGACAGCTCTGTTTATTGCTGCTGCTTCATCTTCTGTTCCTTGCCTCTTGGTAGTTTTCCCTCAAAATCTGAGGTGGTCTCTCAGAGAAAAGGCACAATTTACTCTTATGTATCTGGACACAGGATCTAGCCCAAGAGAGTCCCACGTCCCCTTTTAAAACACATGTGCCTGTGATGGGGAGTCAGGAGTGTTGCTCTCAACACTGAGAATGAAGTTTGGACGGGCACCCATGACAATGACCTAGAACTATTCTGCCAAAAGAAGTTTGACATGAGCTTCAGGTGTTAATACAATGTAATACAAGAAGAATGCAAATAACAAAGGTTGATGTAATTCTGAATACACGTATTGCGCTGGGATTGCTCAGAGTACTGTAGCTTGGAAGGTCAGCAAAAGCTGCAAGGTGTATTTTAAATTTGACTTCTCCTTTGTGTCAGTTTATTATTTAAAAAAATACCCTTCTCCCCAGTTGGTTATTTAAAATGTTTTTGCATTATAAAATTATGGTTATAGCTCCTTCCTGTATTTATGCAGTTTCTTTTATCTGTCTATAGATTAAAACCCATTTGCATAGATATTTGTGTGTGTTGAGTTTCATAGCTCAATCCAGCAAGGTCCCTAAACAGTGTGCAAGTATATTATTGCAAGAGTCTTGCTAAAAGGGTAATATAGCTTTGTTATCAGTCATTATAACAATTTTTATAATCTTTCTATTGGCTGTTGCACGTGGGCAGTTGCAGACTTACCAGAGCAAGGTGCTGAAGTGATCTACAGCGTGCCTGCTCTTCCCCATCCTTCCGTGGGTGCTCAGCAGTGGATTATTCCCAAGGATGGGACACAATCGCTGCTGTGCCGCACGGCGGCTGTTTCTAGCTCCTGTTATGAGGGCATCTGCTTTAACCGGCAGTATTAGCACCAATAACCCAGCCTTTCCACGCAGCTCTTTGGATTGGCTTTTTGACATCCTCTCTCTCTTGATATCTTTTATGAAATGTAGCCATAAATATCTTCTTGAGCTCCTTTTGTTCTGGGATACCTGAGGGAAGCTGTAAGCTAGTTGTAACTAGGAGGCTAGTAGAAGCCAGCTGGTTTTATTTGTCCTGTAATGGCTGAAGTATGCAGCTAGTCCTTTTTTCCATCTACGGTTTTCCCTTCTGTTATCCATTATGTGGACTTGTTGCATGTATTACAGCAGCTATGATTAGGTTCTGCAACTATTTATGCATCTATTGAACCTTCTGGTAGGACCTGTCCATCCAGGTGCTTGAGATGCAAGTTCCTCCCCAGTGGAACGACAATGGTGTCACGAAAACGAAGTCATGTCTCCAGTCTATAACTGTATCTGGCGTTTTGTGGCAGAGAAGTTAAGATACATGGACAAAAGTGGGGAAAAAAACGTGGTTTGTCCTCTTACGGGTATTGTGTTGAAGTGTCGAAAAGCCAGTGTCATTCTGGTTAAGGACACGTGTGAAACTGCCCTCAGAGCATGAAACCCAACACAGAGTTAAGCTTGTGCCTACAACCTGTGTTATTGGTACTGTCTCGCTTGAGAAGCCTCCCCCAACAAATATCGTATCGAATTGTATCTCTCTGGCATATGTGTGTTTGTAGTGTGCTGAGTGTCAGAATAGAATTCTCATAGCCATGGAC